CGGCAAGATCATTTGCGTAACCCCGATAAGAAAACGGAATCCCCATTTATTGATTCATTTATTCATTTATTCGTTTTAAAAAATTACTATTAATATTATTATGAACATCTTTGCTATTACTGAAGACCAGTTGTTCCAGGGGACTTTACAACAAAGGAGAAAAAGAATCATAACTTCGTTATTTGTACAGAAAATTCAGTTGGGTTTTTTTCTCTGAGAAAAATCCACCCCCCCCCTCCCCACACACAAAGACAAGAACATGCATACTATGAAATATGCATAAAGTCGTATTGCTGATTTGAATATATAAGCCTTTGGTCTACTGTTCATTGGACCCATGTGCCCTTTTATTTAGGCCCTAAGAAAAAAAAAGTTAAGACGATCTTATTTCAGGTTAAGTACCTGATACTATGCGATAATAAAATTCTGCTAGACCTATTTCTGACAGCCATAAAAATCTAATCAGTTGACTTGACCTGAGCATCCAAAAAGTCTCTACACAACGACAGCTCATCACATCGGGCAAAATCCTGCGTGAATCACGTGACCCTCTGCGCGGTTGCACATACAGATATAACCATCCATCCACCCATCCAAAAAAATCACAGCAGTTTGTGATTGACAAGTATTTCAATTAGAGATGCCAATCCACAAAGCAAAAAAAAGCGTGGCAGGTATGGATTTTAAGCATAATGAGTAGAAAGAAACTGTGGCCTCTTCCTTTCAAACCGCTTTAACTTAAAACAAAACAAATGTAAGTGTTTTTACGTCCCCATTGACCCAATTTAGATCATTTAGGAGGTGGGCTTCCCACCTTACCCGTCAGGGCCAACCCAGGCTGAGGAGAGGGAATAAACATCCCAGCATAAAGACTGATATGCTCTATAAAAAATTGTCCCCACTCGAGAATCGAACTCGGGTCTTCTGCAAGTGACAGAGAAGTGCTTAACCGCTACGCCAAAGACGCCGGTCATAACAGTTTGTGGCTGACAATCAGAGATGGGTAAATTCAAAAGCAAAAGGAGCGCAGCAGGTATGGACAGGTAGGTATAACGCTCAGAAAAAAGCCCCCCCCCCCCCCCCCCCCAATACAAGCCGCTCCATTTTTGAGTGTGCCCATGTTGCAATGAGGGCCATGGCATTTCTTGCACTGTTGTTGTTTTTATTTGTTGTTGTTTTTTTATTTTGTTCCAACCAAGACGAAGAAAGAGTCCACAGATGGCTACTGAAAGCCTCAGAATGATCTCCTAGTGGTTTAGTTTAGTTTAGTTTAGTTTTTGTTTTACTTGAAGTTTTAGGGCACTTGCAAGACAAATAAGTCGCATAAGTGTCGAAGATTAGAAGTGTTACCACAGAGTAACAAAGAAAAGAAGGAGGAGAGATTTATAAGGATGATAGCTGTTTAATAGGAAAGAAGGAGCAAACCAAACCACACCACAGCACCCGTCAACCACTCCCATCCCATTGTGGCGAATCTCAAACATCTGGCATGGTACGGACCTCCCAAAAAGTACAGTAACTTTAACAGAGAGGACCTCTAACTTATTATCAATCCCCAATGGGACTTTTCAGGCAGATGGAAACTCCACGAAAAGATAGATTGCTTTGGCTGAAAAAGTGTGAAATGCGTGAACTCAATATGAACACTAAATTAATGAACCAAATACAGTAGAGTAGATTAGTACACAGATGTGAACCAAATATTACCTTTTAATCAACAAATGAATATATAATGAATGTGTAAGAAAAGGACAGGCGCTCAGCGCAGAGGGGGAGCTGGAGGGTAGTTTAAAGCTAGCAAAAAGAGGAGGTGGAAAAAGAATGAAAGATGTAAGTATTCATTAAGCAGAATCATGCGTGAAACAAATGACAACTAAGATTTTAAAAACGTGATCCAGAACATCATTTGTTATGACTGAAGTCGACAAACGCCTTCTCAGTGCTTGTCAACCTTTTTACCGTACAGCCAACGCTCACTTTTACCACCAAGTAGAGGCTAAAATTTCCTCCCACCCAACTACATGTATCTGTCACTACTCAGGTGATCCCCACCACCCACCAAAATGACTAAATTGCTCACTTGTTGGCAGGTTGGCAAGCAATGGTCTAGTCTACCTATTCAATTACTGTAATTACACTTGGCATATTATGGAAGATTTGGGGAAAGGCCTCATAATTAATATGTTAAACCACAGCTAGTGGGTGGTTGGTGGGTGCGCTGATGTGGTTTGCTCCTCCTTTCCATAGATTAAACATCTACCATCTTTATCTCCTCCTTCATTTTTGTGTTTGCTACTATCTTGTGAGATCTCTAATCTTCAACACTTATATATGACCTAATTGTGTTGCAAGTGCCGTAAAACTCTTACTAAAACAAACAAACCATAGATCACACTACTGAGACCCTGGTCCAAGTGAGACTGCTAGCTTGTGGTCATTCACCTCACCTTACCTGAAGCATCAACATTTGAACATAGAAGCCCCATGGGGCGGTGCTACTGACTGAAGTGTCTTTAGGCCATTCCCAAGGTGGGACATTAACTTGTTCTTATGCACAGTAGAATTGTAAATGGGCCAATTCATCAATGTCATGCTAATAACTGTGCCTGAACTGTAACAGGGAACTGCGTTTTTTTTCTTTCCATATCCTTACTATCATCATTTTCCTCTACTTCTTTTGTATGTTTGTCACACTCTTGTGATCTGCTATATACGGGGTGCCCTGACAGTCGAAGCAGACTTTGTGCTGTTGAGGCTAGAGAGGTGAGCAGAGTAAGCCTGATTCCCTGTAAGGGCTTTTCTGTTGACATCCACCCCTTGGCGCTCATATGACCTTATGCAGTTGCGACCGCCGTAAAACCTCTACTAAAACAAAAAGAACATTGAAGGGACAGAAACCCATTAAACGTAAGTACGGCCATTTTTACACTTGCTACTAGTCTATTGTGCGAGAAGTTCGGCTGTACATCAGAGTGACTTCACAGGAGATTTCGAAAAAGAACTACTTGGAATTGAAGCAGTAGCAACTTGTTGCACTACGTGCACTGACTTTCCAACCAAAAAAAGAAATACCAAAAGAAATCATTATGTATGTTACAAAATACACAGACAGCATTTTTCTCAGTCTTCCCCCCACTACGATCAGTTGTTAAACTATTACTTTCAGAGTCAATGATCTGAATTTGTCACATCTATTTAGTGTGCTTGTGTCTTTGGGGAGCAGTAGTTTAGGTCCAGATAAAAGAGAGATGGGGTAGGGAAATAACTGGAACCTTCAACACAAAATCAGCTGAATACAACGCGGGCAGTATTGCATACAGACGTAAGTCCTTTTTGGAAACCTTTCAGATACGTCTGTATGCAATACTGCCCGCGACAAGTGCATTGAAGATGTGCAAATAGTAGGGAATGGGAATGACACTTACAGATTGTTTTACTCCCTTTTTTTTTTTAGAAGTTGGGTATATTTCGACTAACACATGATGTATATCTGGATAGATCTAACTATTGTTTGGAAAATGAATTATGGGAAAATACAGGGGGGCACGGCACGCCCCCCTGATCCCCCGGCACGCCCCCCTGATACTCTCTTGAATTTTTTAATCAGGGGGGAATGCCCCTGTAAAATCACTGAGAATATTTGAAACTAGGCCTAAGCCTACACAAAAACCATGGTTTTAAGGTAGCCAAATCCTACCGAATTCTTCAAATTCAAATAAAATGTTAGAAAGTGGCAATGTCATTACAGCCTGTCTGAGACTACACATCAACGTAATGAGAGCAGAATACACAACAAGAGCAGAAAACATGGAGGAATAATAACATAAATAATTCAGATTCATTCGGCTAATAATTGTCAACACAAGTCAAAATGGTTGGTCAGCAAAACAAAGAAAACAAAGATATGGACTTCATAAACTACGCATATATTCACAGATAAAACTAGAGGTAGGGCCTACTCTTTAAAAATAAAAAATAAAAACAAGAAAATCCATCATCTACAGCCTGACAGTCGGCTGCTTATTCTCTCATAAAATTCAAACAAAAGAAAAGATAAAGAGAGGGCATGGGCGCCGTGGGCGGTGGGCATGCTATGATGGGTGCCATAGGTGGAGAGCATGGAAATGACCTAGAGATTATGACCAAAAATTAACAAACACAAACAGTAGTAAACAGTATACGGGGTGCCCAACGGATGGGGTCGGCCCGAGCCCGATTCGCCCGACTCGATCGCCTCAAAAACAAACATGTTTGTTTTCAGTTTCAGGCGATCGAGTCGGGCGATCAAGGATACCACGTTTACGATGATTTGACAGCAGTCTCCTGGGAGCCAAGTGGCCTCGTGTCTAACGAAATCTAGATTTAGTTGTTGATTTATCATCATTTGGAACAACAGTACAAGCCCACTTAAACTTAATTAAATAAGGGAACACATCAATGCACAAGAGAAGGAAGTAGCCTATAAATAACAAACCCACTTCGCCTTTTTATACTAGATTAGATCTACAGGCTTACCAGATCTACACTACACAAATACACACATACCTTGCGACACGCCTTCCTGCTGGATTTATTTTTACACTGGAGACCCTATTTCTAGATCTAGTCTTGTTCACTGTCAATGGTGAGGCGTAGGCTACAGTCAATGGCCCATCAGTCCAGTCAGTGATCAGCAGATCAACTTGAATTGAAGTCTAGACTCTATGTCTATAGAAGAGTCTTAACTATGTTTAGTATTGAATTCGAGCGCTTCAACGTGCAGCACTGTCAGGATCTAGCACTTAATAATCTGTTAACGTAACCATTACCATTGAGGCTCTCCGGTTTACGCATTACAGCCACAAATAATACGAGATAAAAGAGAAATAGCATAAAAAATGTCGGGCGCCGAGTCTGCAGCACAGAGCTTCTCGTGTATTGAATGGTGCTGGCGTAACCTGACGTAACACATTACATTGCAGTCCACCCAGTGACAAAGTTCCGTCCAACAGAACCAAAATAACATCATGCACCCAAGAGCCGACACAGGGCGTCGTAGCACCAAGAACATAGAATTGTGGTCGTTGACTAAGTTAAGCACTAGGAAAGACAACTTACCAGATGTGTAAAAAGTAAAAGAAATCCCTGAGGTCACTGGTTACTTTGTAAAAACTATCGACTGCTAGAAACAGGAAAGCACATGTTATCGTTGCTACCAACAACAGCGTACACAGAGGTAAGCATGTAATGTTGGTATTGAGAGAAATGCCGGTATGGAGAGGGTCAACCAATGAAAACTACGATAATCTTGAGTGGTTTTACATTGATTGGTCAAAATGACCGAGTTGGTCATTTCATATTCATGGTGACCTTTGACACGCATGTCGAGTGAGGCATGAGGGTTCAACTTGTTGACAGAAAAGTTTCTTTTTTGTGTGGACTGTCGTCGCCTTTATTTATATATAAAATAAGCATTATATGAACTTTTGTTGTTGGCTGGGTTTTTTGTATGTCCTAGAAGAAAGGTCGACAACAGGGGTAAGTTCTCAATCTCTGTTGTGGCTATTTGTTGTCGAAAGAAACCCATGCCATATACTCGTTGCTGCAGTCGCAGTGCCTCCTAAGCTATCTCTACAAGACAAGTGTAGAAGAGTAGCCTACAATTTGTCGAGGGAAACTGATGAATGATTTAGATCTAGATATAGATCTAGTATTTAGAACAGCTGAGGTTAGGCTAATAGTAATAGATAGATGGTGGTGTGCTTTGGTAACGGCTCTTTTGCATGCATATCGTCAACATAAATGTGCATGTTTTACGACCCATCGACTAAAATTATGTACTTTAGGAGGCGGGCTGCTTTGACTGGCCTTGGTCTGCCTGATAGTGGAGTGGGGGTTCGAGCCAGGACTGTCCTCTTCATAGTCCAGCGTGATGTGAACTGAGAGCTAATGGAGTGTCTTCCAGATCTGCATACTGAGAAGAATAGGGCCTATATGATATGTAGAATATAATGTCAGATGACAACCTGAATCCAAAGATTTACATGATGTCGATTTGTGTACTTTCACATTTGTTTTCAGATAGATTAATATTATGTAGGCTACGACAAAAATAATTTTTAGAATTAACTGTTTGAGGGTTGAAGGTTTTGCTTTCCCATATCCCTCTGCACACACGCATGACCATTTTTTTTTGTTGCTTTTTATCTTTCTTCAGGTGCTAACCACGGAAGTAAAGGACTTGTGAGCAGCAGAACTGATTGAATACTTCATAATGGATGTCATCCGTAAATATTACAGTGCCACAATGCGCAAAGCAGGTTAGTTAAACGTCTGAGAGATATGGGTGCTAGTTTTCCCTACTGCAATCATAACTGTCATGACCTTATGCAGTTGCAAGTGCTGTAAAACACTTATTAAAAAAAAAACCAACTGCTTGGCCACCTGTCCATAACAATTTAATGACCTTTACAAAAGACCACTTCCTGCTCTTCCCCTCGCTAATTTTTTTCACATCATGTACACCGTCCAATATGCCTGCTTGTACAAGACGGCCACTTTTCTTGTTGACAATGGTCAGTCGTCTGGGACAATTTCGACGATTCACAGATAAGACTTAGATTTCAATCAAATATATTGCACACCCCCTTCTTGTGAAAGCTCAAACCTTTTTTTGTGAAGCTCTACGTATATGTACATTGATTCCACTTGTGTTGAACTCGCTTGAGTTGATCTTCGGTTAAGTTGATCTTTTTTTCGGTTTCCAGCTCCTGATCTTCTTCTTTACAGATCCCGATGGATAAGTTAGACTGTGGATGAGTTGATCTTTTTTTCACTACCCTGACGATACCGACTCATCCATAATCAATTGCACTAATTGGTCCTTCCTATTTATACGATTCCTCTCTTGTTTATTAAGACTGAGACTTTTTGTTTCCAAATATGATTGAAAGTCTTGATTTGATGTGTTCTCTCCATTTTAAATTTACATCCTTTTCTCCCATTTTTAACAGATGACCGTGTGGCTGACTGGTTTCTCATGGACTCTCCGCTCCCAACCATCGCTGTAGTTGCTCTTTATCTCGTTTTTGTCATACAAGGACAGACCTGGATGAGAGACAGAAAGGCGTTCGACCTCAAGCCGCTTCTTGTTTTGTATAACTTTGGACTTGTGCTGCTAAGCGTCTATATGGTGATTGAGGTAATCAATCCACTCAACCTGACATAGCTTTTTGTTAATGCTGTTATTGGCTTTAATAATAGTTTAAGGACTGTTGGATGAGCAGATCATGAGTTCAATTCTTCACAGAGCTGGCACAGTCACCTTAGAAAAACTGTTTGTGCAGTTACATTTACTTCTTTGGCCCACTGTCATTTTTGAGTATAACTGGGTTGCACACACTAGTCTTAACTAAGCGTATAGGAGTTTCTTGATTTGGTTTTATAAAGGCTTTGAAAGTAAGAAGGCACAGAAAAGGGATAAAAGTCTTACCACTGTATGTCATAATAAAAATGTTCTATCTTAAAATAACAAAGTATAGAACCAGATTGTTGCTTTCGAAGACAAACAAGCTGACAGACAAAGTAATACACATGTCCAGTTTATTGTTAATAACTACAAGAAAAATATTGATTGATAAGAAAAAAATATTTTTTCAGACCAATAATTAATTTCTATTTATTTTGGAGAGCCGGAGTTAAATTACCCTTTAATATATGTAGGCCTAGGTGTGTAAGGTTAACATAGGGCATTTTATGTGTAATAGATAGAGGAGGAAGGGGAGGGAGGAAGAGGCTGAGATAAAAGAGTGAATTGAGGTTATTTGAGGTTAACTTGTTGAATTTACCCAAGTGATCGTAGTCAGCATATCGTCGCCTGAGAGCTATTTTGTCCAATGTGCCTCTTTACTTAAGTACACTTTGGTCAAAATAGTTCTGAGGCGAAGATATTTCTGAGAACATGGTATGATGATTGTCTCCGTTGAAAATGACTTTCTGAGTGTCTCATGTTAGAGCTGTATTTCCACACATTTCTGCTCCCAACTCAAAAGATGCACTAAATTCCCTGATTAGAAGATAACAAGTCACTATCTTTCGCCTGGGAACACAACACATCCCACTGAATTCCTACCTATGTAGGATCCGCAAGTATACCCCATCTGACTGCTCGTTGTGTGACTGCCAGGATGAAACAGTATCACTATCACACCACCTCTTTGTCTGCCCTGCACTTATTGACCTGCGAAGTACCTACCTACCTGCCTCCCCAGATATTGGAAATACTTTATACAGCGACAAAACGCAGCTGATAAAAACCTGTTAATTCGTTGCCATATATCGACAGGCTGAAGGGCTAGAACTCAGATGGCCGTTGGATGGGAAAAAGAAGAGTGTCTCAAGTAGAGGGGTTGTTATACTTAAAAGCGAAAGCTGAAAATGATCTGCAATGGTGAAATGATGTGCTATTTTTTCTTTGTTTCTTCTGCAGCTGATCTTGAGTTCTTGGACTGTGCCAGAGTTTAGCCTGACATGCCAGGCAATGGACTATTCAGACAACCCGTACTCCGTCAGGGTGAGCTCCTCTGCTGTGTGGTCGACTTCTTTACTCATAAACTTTTTTTGTGTTTTTGTAAGTGTTTTTACGGCGCTCGCGACTGCATCAGGTCATATGAGCGCGCGGGACACATTAAACTCTTTCAGTTGGTGGGAAATTTTGAATTTTGCCCAGGTGGCGGCCGAAGCCTACTCTTATTGATTTTAGACCACCAAGGGATCTTTAACGTGCGCAACTTGCACACGGGCCCTCCGCGATTTTTCGCCCTTGTCCGAGAAGGCTAGGTGTAGATCTTTTCTACCAGAAGATCAGGGGTGTGGCTGAAAGACAGCAGTAAGAAGAAGCCAAGGAGTAGCAGTAGAAAGGCTGTAGAAAGAATCAGGAGCCCAGAGGAGGGGGGCAAAGGAGATGAGGGAGTGGGGGCAGAAAGAGGAGACGAAAGCAGACGACAGAACATTGCTAGAGAGCAGGAAAGGAGGTGAAAGGAGACAAATTTAGAGAAGAAAATTTATTGGTCACTACCCGGAATCGAACCCGGGACCTTTGAATGAGAGGCCAACACCTTAACCTCTAGGCCACGAGAGCCCCTCATAAACTTTGAAAAAACAGATTTGTTTTGCTTTTAAAAGTTGTATGATGGTTTTGTTTATCTTCGCTGCGAGCGCCGTAAAACCTCTACTAAAACAAAAACAAACATTTGTTTATCTTCCTCTGTGATGGAAAATTAGTTTGCAATGGCAATGTTATCTCCCATTCTGGTAAGTTTTGGGATCTTCTTCTCATACCCCTAGCTAGAGTTCATGGAGTAAATTCTCGATGACAGCAGCTAGACAGTCAGTCCGATGTCGCGCACAAACTGTGCAGTCCGCTTTAAATCTGAGAGACTGCCATAGAGCTTTCTCTCTTGGAGTAAGTGACTGACTGTAAGGTCTTCATCTCACAGTGCCATTGATTTTTACGTACGTGGCCATTTTATCATTGTAGAACTCAGAATAATAATCCATTGGCTGACTGGCATTCACGTGCTGTTTTCTAAGTATATTTATACTGACCAGAGTAGCTTCAATTTTGGTCGGAATTAATTAAGAAATTTGCTCTAACAGACATAACTCGGTTTATGTTATCTCCTTTTTCAGCTTGCCAAAGTATGCTGGTGGTTCTATTTCTCCAAAATTGTCGAACTAATGGACACGGTATGTAGGTCATTTGACTGCATTATTTAAACTTGTACACAACATTTGGATGAAGTCTCATTTTTTTTTTTTTTCATTTTGTTCTTTTGTCTGTTCCTTTTTTCCCCCATCCCTTTCAACAAATTGATTTTCTCAATTTTTTTTCCATTTGAGTGATGAAAGTACATTCAACTTCTTAGTAAATTGTGTCTTAGATGACAAACTTTTCATTCTTCTTATGATGAAGTTCATGTTATAGATTTATATTTATATCCGTTTTTTTAAGCATAAATCATTTTATATCAAGAACAAATTATTTATGATGTTTTGTGTTTGGTTTTGATTCTTTTTCTGGTTTTCAGGTTTCTATAAATAAGCATAATTTTTATATCAACATTGCCATTGGTTTTTTTTTCCAGGTTTTCTTTGTGTTGCGAAAAAAGAACAATCAGATTTCTTTTCTCCACGTGTACCACCACACTACCATGCCTCTGCTCTGGTGGGTCGGCGTCAAGTTTGTTCCTGGAGGAGAAGGTAGAGATTTGTCTTACTTACAGTATTTTATCGTCCTTTTATTTTTACATATTTTTATGTGAAGGAGATACCTTTGAAAATGAGATTAATGCAACTTTACAAAATGTTCAAGATACAATTTTTATGAACATGGCTTACCTTGCAAATTTAACAACCAGTCATTGCTGTCTGCTCTTGGATTTATACTTTTGGTTATGTTTCTGTTTGAATTTGTTTCTTTTCACATCATTTTGCCAGCTTTTGTTGCATCACATATAATGTAGTTTGATCAAGTTCTTTTGAAAATTGTAATGACTCTTCCTTCTGTCTTTTTAAAACATTTTTCCCAGTATGTTGTGCTAACTTGCTCCAAACTTTAACTCCGCAACAGCAATGATGAGCAAAGTCGGTTGGGGAGAGAATACCACCATTTAATGTGTTCCTTCTTTTATTTCTTTCTGATGCATCTGTATGTTTCGCTTTTTTCCTGCACTTAATGACCATTGTAAATTTAATGATGAAAAAAATAAATTACACTTTATTGATCCATGTAGGGAAATTTTTTGTTACAATAGCAAACATTAAAACATAATTACAGAATTGAACACACTAATTCATTAAAACAATTAATTTTTAAGATGTGATGTCTTTTTCGTTGTAATGCGCATTGAGCATCTTTTAGAAAATGGAAATGCGCAGTGTAAATGCTATTTATTATTATTATTATACCAATTACACAATTGTACACCAAAGCAGATTAATTTTATTGTGCCGATATGCTTCAACTTCAAACTTAACTTTTACAAAACAACATTGAAAAGTGTTCCCTGCTCTCTCTCTCTCTCTCTCCGTGCAGCGTTTTTCTCCAGCACCATCAACTCGGGCATCCACGTGCTGATGTACCTGTACTACATGCTGTCGGCCATGGGCCCCGCCATGCAGCCCTACCTGTGGTGGAAGAAGTACATGACCACCCTACAACTGGTACGTACAGCATCTCTGACGCTGGCGATTTGGGGAACTCTGTACATGCCGAGGGTGCGGTGGCGGAGCGGTTAGGGCGCTCGTCTCTGAAGCGGAAAGTCCGGGTTCGAGCTTCGGTTGGGATTCCAAATTTTTTTCGCCCCCTCCTGCCTGCCCATCCAGCAGTAATGTTTATCTGACTTCGAGTTGGGGAAGTAAAGGCGGCGTGGAAAGGAACTGGCCACCTTATCACGATATGCTGAAGGCCCAGGAAGTTGTCTCACTAACATGGCAATTCCCAATGTCCGGATCGGAGTCGGGAACAGCTTTACTTAACTTTGCTTTCCATGCCACTCGCTGGTGAAGACAATATCCTGTGCAAACAAAACAACCACAAACAAAACAAATAACCACTTCACAACACTCCCCCCCCCCCTCCCAATCAATGCAGTTATAAATCCGAAGTTGGAACAGATCAGCTGATATTGTCTTCAGAGGAGCATATTATGTTTGGTCCTGTAAACATTACTTTTTTTTGTTGTTGTAAATCAATTTGGGTGGTTGGCAGGTTCTCCGGTGTGGTTTGTTACTTCTTTCCTATCAAACATCTACTATCCTTATCTCTCCTCCTTCTTTTTTGTGTTTGTTACTCTCTTGTAACACCTCTAATTTTCGGCATTTATATTACTCAATTGTGTTACTACTAGTACAGTAAAACTCTTACCAAAACATAAAACATGTAAATCACTCATTATATATATATATATATATATATATATATATATACGAATATCTTTATATTACAGATCCAGTTCTGGACGGTGATGTTCAAGACGTGCTACGCCATCTACGTACACTGCGACTTCCCGGTCGAGTACGGTTACGCCCTGGTAGCGTACACAATGTCTCACATCGTTCTGTTCTCCAACTTCTACTACCACACCTATCTCCTCCAAGCTCGCCGCAAGAAAGACGATGGCCCCAACGCTGGGTCGTCTATAACCAAGGAGGGTAACAACAGCAACAGCAACAAGCAAGCAAATGGAGTGGAAGCTGTGCGTAATGGCTCCGCTGAGAAAGTTCAGATACGAAAGCAGAGGAGATTTGATTAGTTTTCTGTAACTTATCGAGTTGTTTGGCTTTCAAGAAATGAAGATATACCACTTATCCTTCTGGGACATCCTTTCTCTATAAGAGAAATGATTATACACCTAGTGTGGACTGTTGATTTACGCTTAAACCACAAAGCATTACATTGATAACTTTTCCCTGAAATTTTATGACACAGTCAGGTATTGAAATGTTGAGAACAAGTTCCTCAATTTTATCTTGATATAACTTAATATAATAAGAGAAGACAATCGAGCGCTGGTGTTATTAAATGAGTATTATAATCCTTTTAGGTGTCTGTGATGCAGTTTACTCACACTTTGCTGTTGTTTTATACTTAATTTTTACAAGATTTATTTGAAAAGCTAAATAATGTTCTTAAACTTAAAGCGAGAATTATTATGTATTTGTGCAGCTATACGTTTCTCTAAACTGAATAAGAAAAGGATCTAAGAGGCTTACTTTTTCTGTCAGAAAATCTGTGACATATTACACGAGACAGCTTTTTCTAATGATGTGATCATAGAAATGTGCCCAGTGCCTTATCTTTTTCATTTTTTGTCAGAATACTCTTACAAAATGCAGGTTGTTTGAAGGGACAACTCTAAGAGATCAGCATTCTTTTCTTATCCTTTAGGAAATTTTGTGTGCCATATTCAGTTGAAACACGAAGCATTTTAATTTTTTTAATAGCTACCGTATTTTTGTGTAGTTGAAGTATACATTTAATTTCTCACTTTGTACTAGCGATCATAACCGATGTATCATGTTGAAAGGATTTGTGAAAATGTCTAAAAGCGCGCTATAGAAAAAGAGATTGTTGTGCTCATTATGTCAGATACAAATGTTTAGGTATTTTCATTATATAGTGTTAATTTTCCTAATCATAGATCATGAAATAGAGGAGTACTTGGTTTATAAATGTTATGTTCTTCTTTTTTTCTTTTTTTTTTTCAATATAAAACTCAAAAATGCGTGATATAATTGTTTTTCCCATTCCATATTTTGCCTGTAAAAATTTTGAAGACAATCAGAGCAGCTGGGAAAGATTAAAATGGATGTAGATAAATAGTTGTGAAATTATGGTATATAGTAACATTACAAAAGTAGGAAAAAAGATAGAGGGTGACTAGGTGTGTTACATTCATTGTGAAAAGCACGTCAAAGGTAATTATTGGCTGATTGATATGCTACCATGTAGATAGCCCTAGTGGTTCATGTGTTTGTTTTAGAGCCTGGAAGTTTTAAGAGATCTTAAGATTCCCCCTACCTTTATATTTGCAATAGAAATGGAAAATTCTGTCTCTTTTTATTAAGTAATCAAAAGAATGTGTAGTATGATCATGTAGTAGTTTAGCCAGGAATTTGTATGTATTGGTTAAAATGAATCAATGGATTATTTACTATTTTTTATGATGTGGAGAAAATGTTGTTTATCTGTTTTTATACTTTCCTATTGTCCTGAAAGATGACATTTTCCTTGAGTCTGTGATGATCTTAAAACTTATACAACTGCTATTGCTACATTTGACTACTGTCACGATTAATCCACCTCACCTTCTGTCTCCATTTCTATTTCTGTGCAACAAATTTATCAACACTGTGTCCTGCGCACTGTTTTTTTATCTGTTCCATTATCAGATACATTTATAAATATAAAGATTAACGTCAGCAATTTATAAAACATATCAATGTTTTGAAGTATACTACTGTTATGTTTTGAGAAGCAAGAAACAAGTGAGTTTATTCTGCTCCATATTTGCTGTGATCATCTGCTGATTGTCATTTTCACATTGCATAGTGTATGTCATTGTAAATTTCTGAGGGTGTGTCCCATCCATCGCCACTTTCTTAGTCTTATTTCTACTTCTTTTGTCCTGTCCTTTCCCACAGCTCTTCATTCATCTGTTGATGAAAGCCTGGACTTTATTCAGCGCTGTCCCCCCAGGGGCAGTGCCACTGACTGAAATGTCTTTAGGCCATTCCCAAAGGGGGGACATATCTCGTTCAAGCATAGAAGAATTGTAAATGGGCTCACTCATGTCACGCTCATAACTGTGCCTGATCTACAACAGGGAACTGCTGCTTTTTCTTTCCTGATCCTTACTATTGTCATTTTTCCTCTACTTCTTTTGTATGTTTGTCACTCCCTTGTGACCTATTTTGGGGTGCCTTGATAGTCTTTGTGCTGTTGAAGCTAGAGAGGTGAGCAGAGAAAGTCTGATTCCCTGTAAAGACTTCTCTGTTGACACCCACCCCTTGGTGCTCATATGACCTTATGCAGTTGCGAGTGCCGTAAAACCCTCTACTATAAAAAAAATAATAAAAATTCAGCGCTGTCTTTGTTGTCTTCCAAGTTTCGCAGCCGTAGAGGAGCACAGACTTGACAATTGGAATGAAAGAGTCGAACATTGGTGCGCAGTGAGATGTTGCTTGCTTTACTTTCCAGACTTTTGATAATTCCTTGAATGCTGACCTTGCCTTGGCGGTTCTTGCTTTCACATCTGCCTGAGTTCCAACTTTACCATCGATGACACCATATAAATTAATAAGTGAATAATATTAAAGCGATTTACAGTTCAGTTTAATCGGAGATGGACTTTAGATTTAGAGTACCTGTCTTTTATAGAACATTACGTACAGTGCTTAAAGGAAGGTTCATCCTGTTCCATCGCGGTACCACATCTTATGTGGGACTTTACATGATGTTGGCATGCAAAGTATGTAATTCTTTCTATTTTGTAGCACTAACTGCTTGTTTATTTATAATATATTGGTAAGAATTGCTTTGTGAAAACATCTAAGTGTGTTGAATTTTCAGGTTGTTTTGTCTTTTCATGAAACTTGGTAATCATGGAATGAAAATTTTTGGTTTTAAAGCTAAATGTGATGACATAAAAAATGTGAATATATTTTTATACCTTCTTTGATATATTATAATATGTGTACAAAAAAAATCGAGGCCTTTGCCAGTGCTTTACTTATATAACCTACCCTACCCCCACCCCCATCCCCACCCCCACCCCACACTCCCACTCCTACCAACTCCCCAAAGGTTTGCCTTGATTCATCTCTAATGTGATAATGATGAATCCGTGTTGTAGATTTACCAAGGCATTTGTTTTCCATTTTCTTCCATATTTTTTGGTAAATTGTCAATTTAAAAAATAATTTGTTTTGCTAAACTTCAGTAATAGATGTGATTTTACCTTTTTGGTTACGTGAAATATGAAAGATATTTAATTACTGTTTTTGGGGCAATTGAATTCTTTTGTTTTACTGTGTTTATTGATTCTTGAGAGTGATGCGCATTTCTTTCTTATTTATTTTACTTCTGAAAATACCATAATATATGATAATAATAGATAATAATTATGTAAAGCTGTATGATTTTAATCCCAGCAGGCGAAAACAGAAAAGTTTATATCATTATTATGCATATATATATGTATGTTGATGATGAGGTTTGAGAACAGAAGGCAGAATAGATTTGTTGACCAATGAAATCATCTGAGTTCACTGTAGGCTACCACTGGCAAAGTAAAAATGTTATAATAAATGAAGACGGGTAAATCAAAAGAAAACAGATGAAAATTAGAATTATAATATTATGATTAGGAGTGGAATTTCAAAAACAAATGGAAAATGTCTCTGTCTAATGTTGTTGTTGTTGTTGTTGTTGTTATCGATCCAGCAACAGCTGGGCTCTTGCCCTTCTGTCCAACCCTTTGTGTAATATTATCTGTACTCTTTCTTATGTTTTTCTCACTAGTGATGTCAGACTTTCAACAATTATTCATTCAAGTTGTCAAAGTAAATTGGATCAAGTGCTGTATATTCACAGGGATCTCAGTACTTACATTCATCATTGTAACAGAGTGCAGTGATTCAAGAAAGTGTGTGCATTTATTCTGGTAGATGTTTGGTTATTCATTGGGAACCCTTATTCATTATATATAATACAAGGCCTGTTTTTATCAATGAGTTTTTTTGTGTAATTCAAGACTAACAGACAAAAACACATGGTGTACAGTATATTTATATTTTTACAGTTAGTTAGTTGGTAAAATCTACATAAACTCCCTCTCGTGGATTTTTTATGAAGTGACCAACAAGTGATGATCTGTGCCAGGATTCCTCTGACAAAAACCTTTGCTTTTATTTGCTGTTGTATCCTGACTTAATCTCTAACCAACTGTTCCAAACTGAATTGTGTCGTTTACTTTCTATGTGAATTTAATGTTTTTAGATGACTCACTTTTGGTCGTATTTTAGCCCATATTTTTTATCTCCAAATAGATGCCTTGTCTTACTTTTTGTACACAGCTCAACAACCTTCTGACTCTACGTTTTCTAGATCTATACACATTACTTTTGATACTTCCTTTACGGATTTTCTTATTTCTGATCTTTTTACGTGTGCAACATTTAAAATAAAACGTTTTTGGTAAAGTTATGTGTTGTGTGGTTTATTTTTGTGTCTGATGGGTTTTAGATCTTATAAACTCTGAATCTGGTGTCTGAAGTGTGCTTTGCTCTATAATTATAGTCTTTTACTGGTGATTTATTTGTTGGACTTGAATTTGTCCAGATTTTGCCCGATTTCTTGATCGTATTTTTAAAAAAAATCAGTACAATAATCTCCGCCTAAGAAAAGATCCCACTGCTTAGGATCCTGGTTCGCATAAGATCCTGCTGATCTACGAAAACAGAATTTATATTTTTTTTCTGCACGAAAGTCAGCCCTAAGACCCCCTCTGAAGGTCTACATTCGGCTAGCTAAGGTCCCGCATATCAGATCATAATTTACGGAATAAAAACCCACGCGGGCACTGTTGATCAACCAAGAGTGGAAATCTGCGATCATTGGACTGACTGCCCGTTGCGTCACAGATCAACCACTCTCGTGAATGTGATCACATCATGTCCGTTGTAAATCTCCGTGAAACGGACGCTACAATGTTTGCCCCAGACGGGATCACACACCGAGGTGTGAACTGAACTGACCGACGCGTTTCTTTTCCCCAAACATCGCACTCGCATCTGAGCTCTCCACCTAAGCTTACATCACTCGCTGGGTGGGTAAAGCCGACAAGTTAATAATAATAATAATAATAATAATAATAATTGCATTTATATAGCGCATATCCATGCTCCAGAGCTTGCTCTATGCGCTTTACAACTATCATTACCCCAGCAGACCCTCTGAGAAAACTCAGAAACATTCTCAGCTTCCGTGGAAGTAAAGAAGTAGGACCTACCAGCAGCGCCCCCCTCCCCAACCACCCACCACGTTAGGACTTTCTGTGCAGAGAGTGTAAAACAGAATGTGAGACAGTATGGTGAAATCAGGCCCCCATCAAAATACAGAAATCAGAAAAATAGGTCTTTTTCCACCAGTTTGGTAAATTGTATCGATTTTGTATTAGTTTTGGGGCTCAACCTCTTGTATGTCCATAAAAACACATTTCCATCCGAATGTCACAGAAAAACATAGATCAAAGGCACAAAATGAGTCATTTTCCTGTTTTTCATTGCAGCAGTTGTCTTTACTCCCGAATTTGAGAGACAGACTGAATTTTAATTCGTGTGGTCACAACACAATTGTGCATAACGACATAGGCGGGGGAACTCGGTCAGAGATGGACACCTGTAAATTTTGGGCAGGTGAAAAGGGGAGGATAAACTGGATACGCATAAATCTTGAGACTCACGATAGGATGATAATACGTGAAACTGGCATGCCTCATGCCACTGTGATTGGTCATTAAGGTTGATCATCTTTTTCTCGCCAGAAGTCAAAAACTCACCCAGAGGTCACGCCAGTTAATTTTAGTTTTAGAGTAAAGGGTGACCTTTTTACCTGTTTTGGGGCTGACCATGAGTCACCGTGGATTCTTCCATTGGTGTGTCGTCTAAGATCCCGTTCGCCTAAGGTCCCAAACACCGGGATCTTAGGCGGAGACTACTGATGTATTTGGTATGGCCACCATTCTGGTTCACAATAGTGACCGTGCGTTATCTCACGGACCTTGTAATTTTTTGTCTTCTTGAGGACTCCATTCCATGCACTAGAACGAGACTTTCAAATAGTTCCTTGGATGTCCGAGCTGCTGGCTTCGTTGCCCAAACTGCACACCCTGTTTTCAAATCCCTTTAGCTGCGAGCATTTCGCTCTTGGCAGCGCAGTGCCTCCCTCAAGAAACCACAAGTCCTTGTCATAGATCTATTCTGGTCAACGCCAGAGTCACTGCACACCCTGGAATATCCCACAAATGTTCTGTACAGTTACAGTCCATGTCTAGATATTTACAGCAGATCACTGACTGTCCTTTGCAGTAAATTGGGAATAACGTTACTTAATTAAATTGCAAATAGATGTTATTTAAAAGTTATATTAAACTACTGAATTTTTTACCCTGAATTCTTAACATTTTAATAGAGATATTGACCAAATCAAACCATGCAATGAACTGTTGTGAATGTAACCAACTTGCTCCTCGAGACCATAATGACCTTATGCAGTTGCGAGCGCTGTAAAACTCTTACTAAACTAACTACATGTGACAGCAGATCATGGTTCTATGACGTCAGTTTTTATTGTTTTCGAAAAATTGCTTTGTGTAGCATTAATCCTTGAGGGAGGAGCACTATAATATTATTATTGTGTTGGATCGGTGCTGATCGAGGGAACGTCTTGATCCAGTCCAGAGAGTAGGCTACGTATGAGTGGACTTCTCTGTGGGTGTAGCGGAGGCCTACTTTGTGATCACAAACTTTGTGATCATAAACTTTGTGATCATAAACTTTGTGATCATAATTTGTGAACATTTTGTAACGTTGGTTTTTCGATTCACGACTTTAATACAGCTCCCTTACAAAGATCATCAAAGATATGATACTATATTTTGGGGCCATGTTGTTAAGCACTAGCGGCTTATGAAAAGTAAATGATATATTATATATGAACAATTAAAAATCGTATCTCTTATTAAGAAGTGTTGGAGTTAATTTTGCTCCTGGTGTTTCTTTGCATCCCAGATCCAAACTTAAACCTAAGAAATCTAAAAACAAAAGATTAGCGCATAAAATATAGTGGGTTTTTTTTCCATGGTTATTTATAATTTCCGTGAGTCAGTCGGGCTTGTTGGTGACGTCACACTGACACGGGTAGCGGGTGGCCAGCCTTGTGAGCAGGTCAAGGAGAACTTCCACAGTCTGGCTCAGGAGCAGGCGTGACTTCTGCCCCTCTGCCCTCAGTGAAGACACCTGGTGGGGAAGAGAAAAAAAGGGAGGGAAGTGGGTGGAGAGAAAAAGAGGGAGGGAAGGGGGGGAGGAGGGGGATTCGTTTTTAGTTTCTTATTTGATAGTTGTTGTTGTTTGTTTGTTTGTTGTTGTTTTTTTTAGGGGGGGGGGTTGCTCTATATCTAGAGATAAAGTTGTATTAGTTAGATAAGAGTTTGCGGGTGGTTGGCGGGTGCTCTGGTGTGGTCTGCTTCTTCTTTCCTATCAAACATCTATCGTCCGTATCTCCCCTTCTTCTTTTTTATGTTTGTTACTCTCTTGTAACACCTCAAATTATCTGGCGCTCAAATGACCTTATGCAGTTGCAAGCGCCGTAAAACCTCTACTAAAACAAAAAACAAACAAGATAAGAGTTTCATGGCACTTGCAACACAATAAGGTCACAAATAAGAGCTGAAGATGAGAAATGTTACAAGTAACAGACGCGGAGAAGAAGGAGAGATAAGGACGATAGAGATCATCTATGTTTGGTTTTGACAGGAAAGAAGGAAAAAAATCACGCGCCAGAGCACCCACCAACCGCCCACAAAGCCCCCCCCCCCCCCCCCCCCCCCCCCCCCGGGGGGGGGGGGGGGTCAACAACAAAAACACAATGTGTGAGTAAAACATCACAATGTTTCCTCAGTACACCAGACAGTAGACTGCTATGACTGTACAAGCACACTTTTTTCTCTTTTTTTTACAAGGGGGGTGCCCAGTTTGCACAGGGCCAGTTTGTCACAATTCTATTTAATTTTAAAAAATATTGATGACAATTATAATTACAGCACTTTAACACTGTAGTTGTAACTTAAGCTTTTTATTCTCCTCTTTCAAATTGGTGGTATAAAGGTAGTCCCTCTAAAATGTCAATTCAGGTTGTGGTTTTCAATATTTCTTCTTTTTTTTGTAAGCAAATCAAAGCAAATTACTCTGTAAAATTCAACAATGAATGTTCTTTCATTAACAACAATTGAAAAATAAAATTCAATTCATACAATCGATCAATCATTCATTTGCTCTCTTTTTTAGAGTGTCAGTGATAACTTCCATCATGCAGGGCACAGTAGTCGAGGCCTGTGACAAACTGGGCCTGTGACTAAACAGGCATAATATATATATATA